CCTTTTTCTTAACTCTATCATTATGTTTTGACAATAATCAAGCTGTGATGAACAGCCCCTATAACCACGGTGTAAAAGTGTCATCATCCTCATCAAGTTTTCGAGTTCACCTTTGGGAGCTGCAATGTCTCATAACGAGCTCACATAGGTGTTTACACACCTCCACAGCATAGGTACTAATTAGAATTTTTTTCATATATGTAAAGGTATCCATACTGAATGAAGGTCACGCGAGTCTGATTTGCAAACGTTTGAAGATAAGCCTTGGAAGTGCTGCTAAAAACTTGAATATGTGGAAATTGAAATGATGTCACCATCTCATAGTGATATGACGCAATCCCAATCGTACCGARTAGGGGTGACGTCATTGTTTCTAAAAATAAATATGACGACACCACCAACTCCAAACAAAGCTCCAAATTTCTTTTGTTTTAAAATCGGTAGCTCCAAACCGAGCTCCAAATTTCTTTTTTTTTAAAATCGGTAGCTCCAAACCCAGCTCCAAATTTCTTTTGTTCCAGAATCGGCCTTTTTATACTACTAGTTTTCACATAATTAAATTTGTTTGTTTAAAAGGTAATCTTTAATCTTACTTTTGAAGCTAAAAGTAGACATTTGTTTGTACTCTGAGGGTAGATCTTGCCAGAGAATGTGCCAGGAGAATGTGCCAGGAGAAGGTGAATTTTAAAACTTCAATTTTATAAATGTTTTCTACTGTTAGAATATTGAGCAGATTTAATAAAMRTAATGGGCTTTGGTTGTATCGAAAACGAAGACCCTCGAAAGCGAAGACCTAAGACCCAAGAAAACCTAAGACCCCCTATATTTTGACGTTTTATCCCGGGGGGGTACTCGATCCCGTTTTGGATAGGTACGTGCCGCCAGCGGTCTAAATCCCTGACCCTGTTTAAGACACTAAAAAGTAAAAATCGTTACCCTGTTCAAGACAAATCGGAAAAATAAGGAATAGCTATCTATGCCGCAACCATCAAAACTGCAATTATATCGCCACATATTAATCCCAAATAGGTAAAAGCTGGATTTTTCGTTAATTTTGGAATCCTGTCCAATTAAGAAATTAATTGGACAGGTTTTCAATGAAGGTGTCATTACTGTTATTGTTAAAAGCTGTGGTTGGCTTTTACCTATTTGGGATCAATATGTGGCTATATAATTAWTAKGTARWRRGACTCCATGCTGTCCAATTAAGAAATAATTAGACTCGAAAAATTCCTCTGACTGCCAAATTGGACTCGGCCACGGCCTCGTCCAATTTTTCGCAGTCCTCGGAATTTTCCTCGTCCAAGTATTTCTTAATTGGACAGCATGGAGTCCTATTACATATAAAAATGTATACCCTGTTTAAGACAGCAAGGCCAAAAACGATACCCTGGCCAGCGGCACGTCCCCGTATAGCAAATATATGGGAGTACCCCCCCACCCCCCGGGCGTTTTATGCATTAATTCGTCACAATCGCCGTTGAATCGCTGTTATTTTGTGCAGTTTGGAGGGGGGTCTTAGTTTTCGATTTTGTCGAAACCTAAGACCAAAACCTAAGACCCCCTATATTTTGACGTTTTGTTACATTAATTCGGATCGTTGCTAAAACTACCCACAAGTCACATACGACTACACATACGACTAMATACGAGTAACATACGACTACATACGACTACATACAGGTTACATACGATTATACAACTTTTCAGTCAAATCAGACGTTATGATTGGTTGGCTTTCGTGTGTTATCAAAGTATAGATACACGGATTACGTCAAAACTAATTGTTTGTTGTATATACGAGTAACATACGACTGCATACGACTACATACAAGTACAAGAAAATTAAAAAAAACTTAATACAAAAATAACCTTGGAAATAATTCGTCTATATCGGTCCGGGACCCAGACAGAGTATCACAAAAAACTGTATGTCCGCGGGAGTCAAAATAATTCACCAAAATCACAGTAGAATGCAAATCAGTCTAATCAAAGATACTTTACTGTATTTGTGTAGAATAGTCCTCCTTTTGACCACATTCAGATGACAATCGATGTGACACTTATAGGTTTTTTTTTACGTCTCTGGACGAACCCCCGGACAGAATGTTACGAAAAACTATTTGTTTTTTTTTTACGGGAGTAAATCTAGTCGAAAAAAAAATAATCGGAAAATGTCATTAATGTCGAATTATAGAAAAAACGGGTTGGAAAGTAAAATTTGATATGGAAATCGAAGAGTTGGGAGAATGTGGCATGAGTTTTTACTGAACATGCCAAAAAGCGCAGTATAAACAGGATTGTGATCGATCCCGCAATTTATAATGTTTTTGGCATGATAAAATTACAGAAGTCGTGTATCACTTAAAAATTTATTGCAGGGGCATTAACTTTTTAAGGTCATGCCTGCCGGNTTGGTTGCGTCAAAACCGTATCTAGGCAATCGGGCTACCTGTCCCAGCACATTATTTGGATTTCCTGTGTATGTAATCTGGAAGAATGCAAGCAAATTCTTGCTTGGTACGAAGAAGCTCTGATCTCGGATGTTTCGCGACATGTTCTTTGTCACACATGTTCTTTTCTTRTTTTTATTTTAGAATACTACTGGATCCGGCTGGACGCCATTAATTCCCGGTACTATGTTTACTCACAGCATAAACCGACAAGAAACGCTAGTCAACGAATTGGAAGATACTTCTAGTTCAAGRTCTTCGTTCGCTGACTTATGGGACAGTTCAATACCTGTAGAGGTTTGTGAATTTGAATGCAGTGCGTTTGGTCGATACAATTTGGGCAAATTTGTATTATAGACATTCCACCAAAGCAGCTGCTGTTGACGTTCCTGTTTATCACGACTTCTAATTGATGAGGAATCAATTGATAGCTAACAGAAAGTAACATTAATCCCAATCTAATTATAAAAGAATGACATAATTACATTATYCATGCCTTATTCTACCTACTTGTATGTTGAATCTTAACATGCTATTTCCATAGCATTATTGATAATCCTTGATAATGTGGTGGATCATTTTTTAAAGTATTAATTAAAATGCCTTAACTTAATTCATTTAATATTGCAAAGAAAGTTACATGAAATCTTTGTTCWGTCCTGCAATATTTACAATCTATTGTCTACATAACTTCACTGTTCCACTTCAAGATAATAATGGCTTCATGCCATATTGAATTTGATTTGTCAAAAAACAGTCATACTATTAAATTTCATCTGCCATCATTATTTAAAGATGACAGCTGCTAAAAAAATATTATTCTTTTGTTTRGACAATAGATCGTAATTCTCAAGACAAATGTATAAAAGATGTATTGGAATAATGAAATTTTACCAATCATGATACTGTTAGTCTATAAATTAGCCATGATTATGATACACCTTTGTAGATAAATTCAGAAAAAAATTGCTATTTCTCTGACAGCTTTCTGTATGCATTATATTTCCTGTAGCTTCAAATCATAATGYATTAGTCAACAACTCCACACAAGTTCAACTAAATTTATTTATCTTTAAATCTCTCATTTAAAACAGGTTTTTATAGTTTACACTTTTGAGATTTTTTCATCACAATTATGCCACGAAGGTTCACTTTGAAGGTTGTATTGATTTTCTCACATACGAAAAAAACAACAACATGATTTTCAACCAACCAGAGAGCTGATTTCAGGAACAGATCACCTTTAAAACATAACAAACTATGACAGGTTCTCTGATGCAATTTGGGCATTTAAATTTTATCTTATTTTCATTTAGTGATTTTTGGGTCAATGTTTTTAGAAACCTGTGTGTATCATATTTTAGTCAAAAATAAAGTAATGCATGTCTTCTTTTTCCTCAGATAAGAGATGACTCTATTAGAAGAGGTGCTGTATATAATCCTACATCTGTTGTCTTGCATATGTGCAATAGACAAGTCATGGCACCATATTTTTTCTTGTTATCTGTGGTAATTATTCATATAACAAATATTGTGATCATGATAACAGTGTTATAAGCATTAAGTCAAATAGAGTAATATTAGTTAGACCTAATTGTGACTTTTGTCATTGTGACTTTTGTCATTTGTGACTTTTATCATTGTGACTTTTGTCATTGTGACTTTTGTCATTGTGACTTTTGTCATTGTGACTTTTGTCATTGTGACTTTTGTCATTGTGACTTTTGTCATTGTGACTTTTGTCATTGTTTTGTCACTGGAATACAGCATTGTGTTTATGATACAAAACAAATCTTGATGTAAACTTTTTCAGATTGGATGGAGGCCACTGGTTCGCAATACACATTTCTTGTATAGAGCTTTAAATGGAATGTACACCTTTGTCATCATTGGCCTATTATTATTCAGCTATGTAGCAAGTATTATTGCTTGCCAAACAAGGCTTAGTATGTTAGAACAGGTAAGTATTATGAGCAAATGTTTGCAAATAATAAAATGATTTTTTACAATGATTCAGTTCATTAATCAAGAATTCTTTTCTCAACCAGAAAGTGAATCCAACAGCTATAACTCATCCAACAACTTACCATAACACAACTACCCTTCCTACTATTTCACCAAATACAACATCCAATAAGTCGTTTCCATTTTGGAGCATTCACCAAGGAACACCACTAACTGATCAAGTGATTACAATGTTCACAATGAGTCCTCTCAAAGCTGACTGGAAACCTACTGAATGTACACATATCTTCAGTGGTTATATTGTACCAAATCTTTTGCATTTTGTTGCTTTTTTTCTTGGACTCTATCATTTCCGAATACAAGAAAGTGAAGGTTTACAGGCTCTTATTGAAATGGTAAGTTTAAGAACTATGATGAATATTATACAGTGCAAAGTTTTTAAAATGTTTTCTTAATTCTAATTGTTTTATATACTGTATTTAATCATTGTTTTTAAATTATGGCAGAATATATAGCAATTCATCCTTTCATTGATTCCTTTTCTAACTGATACATCAATTCATCAAACACTTCATTCATTATGCTGCGGTATATAGGACATATCTTTTTTTGCATGAGACATTTTAGCTTCTGGCTTTTGTTATTTGTTTTAGAATTTTTTAATATATATTTCTTTTTGGCAGGTTTTTCTACAAAGCAGAAACCAGACCAAAGTTGTCAAGAGATTAAGGTATTTATTGAATTTGATATAGCGATATTGCTATAGGTTGACACATGTTTTACAAGAGTTCCTAATAATTTCATGACATCTTAGATACAGGACAAAATACAGATACATGTAGATTCAGGGGAAAAATATAAAACGAAATTACAAACGATACTTACAAAACGATGTGTCTGTTACTCGGTACACGGTAGACGGTAGACGTTGAACTAAATTTACGAATATTATCTTAACTAAAGAGTCCTCAAGGGGCCAAAAATAAACAAAATAGCACTAACTTKTTCTTTAAGTCAATTAAAGATTGAATAAGGGACAAATAGTGCCAACCAAAACCAAAAAAAATGACCAGTCATTTTCAGACTTCAGATAAAAGTTTCTTTGTGAGAAAATGTTTTGAGTTTCGGAAAGGCCAGGGAAAGCACTTATGTACTGAGATGTGACTAGACTTAAATGAATATTACTGAGAACAGTCACAGAMGACAGGATGAAGGAGGTGATCTTGTAAATTTTGACAATTTCTTTCCCACTTGATCACAAAAATGCTCAATCATCATGTATCAAATGTTTTMTTTACCTTTAGTACAAGAGATTTGCTGAAGTTTTTGCTTTGCTTAATCTTTTTTATCTTTTCGTAGGTCCTTTCTGATAGTTGGCTCTGTCACATTGCTATTCTCCACTTYTGCTTTTATGTTATTCCTTTATTCATTTGGCTTATCGTCGGTCACAGGATTTAGAAAAAATAACGTGTATGTATTTGTTGATGATGTCATTKTCCTTGTTGATGTTGTGATTTTACTCAAAATGATTTCAGACACAAAAYGATGGCGGAATATGACCTGAATTGATCACGATAATCTTAATTATTGTTAATTCTTAGAAAGCAATGGGTAGCTTGCTGTTTCATGGTTCTTGGAAATCTGGTGGTAGACTGCGTCACATTYGTCATTGTTTTAAATTTTTGTGCGCAGTGTCAGCTCTTGACTTTTTACCTTAGAGATATTGCATTGAGGATGGAAGAAAAGACAGCATCACTTGATCACATCATGAAGGTGTGTTTAATGTATATATTCATTAAGGATCAATCAAATTACTTACCATAATGTCATTGATCGTGTCGAGACCTAGTAATGATTGTATGCTAAATATAATTATGGATAAATCACTTCCTATTTCATTCAGAGGTAAAAGACATTGATTGCAGTTTGCGTTGTTATTACATTGATAATGCTAGGTTAAGACATCCCGCCATTACGAATTGATCTAAAACGATGTAGCTATTTCAAAAAAGTTGTCGGGGAGAAAGTTGGTGTGGTTTAAGCTTATATTCGGTCCGTGTTTATCAGAAAATGAGCAACTTTCAATCGCGCAATCGCCATATATTTCAGCAGAGATAGAGYGTTTTCCGTTTARGAACAGCAACATTRCCAGTCGCAGTCAACGCACAGAACGTTTGCATTTGTAGACGCCATACGCTCCCATACAAATACAGCATTTCACTCTCAGTTTCCCACTCTTCGAGTTGTAAATTATTATGGTAATGAGCAGGCCCGTAGKCTGTCTTGGTTTCGTTTTWTCATAATACGGTACCAAATTAAATGTTCAACAAAATTTAGTTCAATGCACGTCAGGTATAGTGTGTGARAACTTGCTGCTTGAATGAGTAGTTCATACAAATAACTCAATCTCAAGAACATTTTATAACAAAAGAGAAACACCGGACCTTTTAAGCTTGTGAGGGAGTTCGTCCGAACCACCCCCCAGCCTACGGGCCTGATGAGGATCAATTTATGCTAATACGCATTACACGATATTATACGCGGGAGCTACACGAGGGAAACGAGGATATTGATGAACGCTTTATTTTTTTGACGCAATTAAATCATAGAAAACATTAAATTTACGATCGTATTTGGTCAAAAGTCAGTCAAGGAGTAATTTTGCTCTTAAAAAATACAAGCTTTTATTCTGTTTTATCGGGTATTTCATTTCCTTTTTTCCAGGCTTTTTTTTACTTTAGCCAACATTGCAGTGACAGCGTTCATGGTATCCATGGCTTTTACGTACATTCTTTTGTGCTCTTTGTGCGCGTCTGATGTTTTTATTTCAGACTACGTTCACACGGGGCCGGTCAAGTTGAGGACACCTCGCGGTTTTAGGACAGTTCCCACTGTTCGCACGGAACCGTCCACATTTCGGTACGGATTGAAACAGTGTTCACACGGATCCGTTCATGCTTGGAAGTGACCCGTCCTCAAAGTGGATTGGCTTTTTAGCCGGCCCCAAACCTGAACTTTTTTGCCAGCCTTAGATGAGGTCAGTTCCAGAGTTCCAGTGTGAACGCGCGCCTAAACTAGAACGGTTCTGAACGGAAACGGCCCCGTGTGAACGTGGCCTCGGTTTCTTGTTTGGACGTTGAGCTAGCTCTTGTTAATAATTGTTCAGATTCGTCAGAATTGAACGAGGACATAACAAWATCACACTCAAGCTTTTTCTTCACGGCATCCCTTCTCCTCTCTTTAGGTGGTGTGTACTGGATAAGATATGGTCTTTTTGATTATYCATTTCATTCTCGTGATTAATAACTCATAATAACTAAAACTGAACTGAACTCGATCTGGGAGGTCAGTGTTTACTATCGTTTCCTTGCACAGTGCAACAACGCTATCCCAGTCATTCCCCATGCACTTTTGGTAGCATTCTAAGACAAACTTGTGCTCCTGCTCGCTGACGCTAATTCTCATTCGCGTTAACACGTTAACACGTCTAAACCGATAAAAAAACAGGCCATATTGTTCAGAGAAATCTAGCGCTCCTTTCAAAAATGAAACACATTTCGGAAAACACCTACAGTATTTTATATAAAAATGTGAAAATTAAGATGGTTCAATCAAGAAACGTTTTCACGGTGTCTGCGTTGACTTTGATGCCTGAATCACTTGTCGTGGCATCTTTCTCTGAGAAATACCCAAATAGTTGCTTTTTATTTTGCTTTGACGAAATGAACTTATCAAGATATGTTGAAATATCTGGAAGTTTCAAAGGATCTGTTAACATCAAATGGTGAAGTCATTCAGCCCCAGTTGTTGCTCCTAGGTAGGTTTTCACCCGCTTTTAGCGCTTTAGCAGGCTTTAGCGCAGAGAATGACCTTTCGCTTACAGCATTTGTTGCTGGCATCACAAGCAGGATATTTCCAAGAGAAATACTTTAGAACACTTTAGACAAGAGTCCATAGTTTAGTGATTGAAGTCAAATCTGCTTAAATCAAATCCCATAGAATTGGCTACCTGATGTAGAAGGTCCATATTTCCTGTCATATTTCCTTTTATGTCTGAATAATTTTACTACTTCGCTTCAATATTATTATTTTTTGTCAAAAAAAAACTGGGGGGGGCGGCCTCCCCTCCACTTGCTACGGGCTGAATTAATGAAAATTCCGCGCGTATATGATGAAAGTGAGAATTAATGGTATTAGCTCAATTTCATCACATACAAGCGGTAGTTTTCATTAATTCTTCGAGAACAAAGGTGATATTTCCTTTTAATATCATATCTAAAAATTTTCGATTCTATCGCATATAGGAGCAGTACATGATAGCGAAAACATATCGTGCGTAGATCATTCATTAAGACTTCTAGGATAGATTCGTACAATAGCCGACTTGCGAATCACGCATCAATAGTCACATACAAAGGAATCAAGACGAGGCGTCGTGCTAAAGACAATATATTTTTCACAAAAAAGCACGGCGCCTCGTCTTGATTCCTTTGTATGTGACTATTGATGCGTCGGCTATTAATTAATAGCACGCGTGGTATTAATTATTTGCACGAATTAATAAAAGATTCGTTCGTCAGCCAATCAGAATCAAGAATTTTATGTTGGTATGACAAACACTAAAAGTGTGCATAAATACCACTAAATACTGCTAAGTTATGCTAATTCTATTGTTTTCTATTGTTTAATTAACACAATTTTGTAGTAAATAGTGGAAATTATTGCACACATGAAATGTTTGTACTCTATTAAAGGCGAAATAACTCATTTTACAGTAAAGCTACCAAATAAATAAAGCGTTCATCAAAATCCTCGTTGTCCCGCGTGTAATATCGTGTTATGTGTATTAGCATAAATACTCCAGTTTCGAATTCTCCAATGCTCTGTGTTAGCCTCATTTGTBCGCAAAATATTTCTTATTGTGAGCATAAATGTGTGAGATTTCAAATCAAATTGATTGTCTTACTTCACAAAATTCCATGCGTTTTCTCGAGCTATCAATGAAACAAAAGAATATGTTACATGGTTTTGAGGCTAACACAGAGCAAACCAGAACTCGAAATTGGAGTATTGATCATCATTAGCATTTCTTATCCGGTTATGTGAAATCGTTATTATCGAGTGTGGACTTTCAGAAATTTTTATTTTTCTATCTTTAGAACATTTGGGAAGTGAAAAAATATGTCAGCAATATTAATGGTGTCGCTGCAAAAATAACCACAATGGTGGTTTTCAACTACTGCGAATTGACAGTATTGGGTGAGTAGTCTGTTAGTTTTCATATAAGATAAAGCTACTTTACTTGCTTATCGACTTATCGCTCGTCTTCCTTGCTACAATAAMGACGGGTCCCTGGAAATAGCGTTACAAGTTACGAAGTTACAAAGTTACGATTTCTGTTAACAACATGTCAACAAGCCCTACTGCTATTACTAACTGTATTATTATTATATACTTTTAATCTTATGCGTTAGACTATCTTAGTAAAAAAAACTTGTTTTTGTTTTGTATGGTTTGAAATGTCCAACCCTGATCGTATTAACTTAT